ATGTAGTATGATCGATGGCAATACTGTACCGTCCTTAGTAGACTGCGGATTTTATTCATTTATAGCCTATAAATGCTCTGTGAAATACAATAAAAAACTACGAGTTTTCTATTTTATTCTGAACCCAATGATACTCAAGACGAAAAATAAATTTCTACAATTGCTCTTGTCTTTATAAATTACTTTAGAAACTTTTATTTTGCATAAAAATCCGCTGTCTAGCCATTACTGTTATTTCAAGTAGTAGTCATCAACACTAACCAGACACAGTATATATGTATCGGTAACAGAATTTTTGCAACTTATTTTTAGATGTAGAATCACTTTACTTAATTGTTTCAATTTGAACCTAAAAAACTTTTTCACGGGCCATTATGACTTTTACCCTTTTATGTAAAACAGCGACGAAATGGAAATAAATAAATAGATATTCGTGGTTTGTAATGTATTAAAGATTTCTTAGAATCAGTTCTTATCATTCCTAACCCAAAAAATGGGTTTTACAAACCCATATGATTTTGTACTTTTTATGTTACATTATTGACTAAATGGAAAGAAATAAACAGCTACTTTTGGTTTGTAACGTATCGAAACATTCAGATTTTTTCAAATCAGTTCTTCTCATTCCTAACCTAAAAAATTGTTTTACAAACCCATATGATTTTGACCTTTTTATGTTACATTATTGACTAAATGGAGAAAAATAAACAGTTACTTGTGGTTTGTAACGTATCGAAATGTTGCGGTTTCTTCAAAATCGTTCTTGTCAATCCTAACCTAAAAGATTGTTTCGTAAACCCCTATGATTTTGACCATTTTATGTTACAATAGTGACGAAATGGAAAGAACTATATAGATATTTATTTGTGGTTTGTAACATATTAAATCAATTAGATCTCTTCAAATCTCTTCTACACAATTCTTAACCTAAAAAAATTGTCCCACGAACCTCTATGATTTTCATCCATTTATGTAAAAATAGCGACTGAATGGAAAGAAATAGATACTTGTGGTTTGTAACGTATCGAAACGTTGAGATTTCTCCAAATCTGTTCTTACCAATTCTAACCTAAAAAACTGTTTCACGGATCGCTACGATTTTTATTCTTTTGTATAAAATTGTAACGACATGGAAATAAAAGAATAGATACTTGTGGTCTGTAACGTATCAAGGACATGACGGTCTCCTCAAAACGGTTCGACGTGAAAAAATAATTTTGGAGGATGCTGCGCCATTGCGCATCCTTGTGTGGACGTGGGGCAGTTTTAATAGCACCCGCACGGGCATGGTCTTCGGGGCCCGAAACTCGAGTGAGGGGGCCCCGAAACGAAACACAGTTCGGCCCGAGTATCTGCATATAAATCACTGGTTGGACAGCCTTAAGAACCCGGAGGCTATTGCGTACCCACCAATAAACGTGAAACATTGCTTTCGGTTTCTTCCGCGGACGGTATACGTTTAAAAACCGCTTCCTTATAGTTGCCACGTTCTGTGAACATTTTGGAACGAAACAAAAAAAAACAGACTCAACGAAGAAAAGAATTACAAAGGGGATGTGGGAAAAGTTTTCTATGCGACAGTGACTGAAGACTTGTAATTAACCCCTTAAGGGCTTACTGAATTTTAGAAAAATGGGTGAAAAAGAAACGTCTGTGTTTATTTTATTATATTACTACCCGGATAGCACGTGACGCCTTAAAGACGCCTATTTTAGGTCTAAGGCGTCTTTAAGCCGTCTTCACGGCGTCATGTGCTATCTGGCTATATAATTATTGGTAAACTTTTATCACACTATTTACCGAAACAAAATTTGTTTAATGTAACAAGAAATTATACGTGTAAAATATTACGTTTACATAAGATACAATTAAATTATGTAGAAAATAAGGGGGGGAAAATAAGGAAATTTGAATAAAACAATGTAATAATATAAATACAATACGTAATAATATAATACGTGAGTGTACAGAAGAGACGGTCATATTTTTATCAAACGTAATATTACAGAGGTGGACCTTAAAGGAGTAATAAAATAAAATGAATTAAAAAAAATAATAAATAAATTAATAAAATCATTGTTTGAGACTATAAATTAAGTATTGTCATTAATGTTAAATAAATGTAAACTTTACCCTTTCGAGGCTGACAGGACAATACCTTCCAAGGTAACATTTGCAATCTTTCCTGAGATATATGCTCCCAAATTCAACAAATGAAAATTATAATGAAAAAATGTATTAGATATTCAGCAGCTAAGGTGAAAAAGCATGTTTAAGCTGCAGAGTTGGACTCTGCCTCTGCATTAAATGTTTTATACCTTACAAGTTAACAATATTATAATTAATTACCTTATTCTACCAACCGTTTAACTTTGTTAATGATATTGTGAGATATTTTAATGAATAAACTCATTTCCCAGGTGTTCTATTCTTTCCTGTCACTACTGAGACCTATTTGGACATATGATTCCATTGTAAAAGCTCAGTGGCACTACATACTCTATTTTCGAAACTATGTTTAACCTATTTTTCTCTTCGTATTTGAGTGTAACCCGTACTATTATATTATTGAATTCATTGTTAAAAAAGTCCGTCTCCAAAGGGTGAAATATGTAAACTATTATTGTACACTAAGAAATTATACGAAATTAAAAAAGGTAAAAAAGCTTTGTAAAAAGCACTTGTATTAGGTGTATTAAGAAGTAATCCACAATTGTTCTTTAATTACATATGGGGCGATATATTTTGAACTAAAAACATACTCCAGACCCTTCACTGACTAAAATTAGCGTCAAACTTTGGAAAATCATTCTTAATACATGAGAAACAGTATGGACCCTTAACTTCTACAGAAATCAGTACTGATTTCGCCAAGTGAATTACTTATTGCTATACCGAATAAATTACAATTTACTCAATTTTTGGAAATAGAAATTAAAAATAATATTCTGAACCGTTAGTAATAAAGATTCGAGAATAGATGAATTTCTGAACCTTCAAATAATATTCTGAACCATTTAAAAAAATTCATTAGTCATAATTTACAAACACTACTGTATGAAATTTAAATAATTAAAAAATAGTGTTTCATTATTATTATCTCTGTCATATAGACTTATGGATCAGTACTATCTAACAGAAAAAATTGATCCAAAACTATGAATACAATTTTTTTAACGAAAGCTTCCTTTTCAAGATAACCGATTTCGAACATGTATCGGAGTTGCAGGTAATGATCGAGATACTTGTGCTGATTTTGACAGCACATGGACGCATTCCAGCGTTCAACCTAACCATGTTTGGACGTATATGACCATCCCTAGTACGTCCAACTGCTTTGTAAAAACGGCCAGTATCTTCGGAAGCGATCAGATGATAAGAAGATTCTGATCCATCAATATGTCTGTGGGGTCTTTATTCCAATCGTACTTCGTTATCGATTAATTTAGTAAATTTAGATTTCTTGAGAAATAATCTGGGGAACACTAATCTTTTGGTGTCTCATCAACTATACATGTTTGATACATTTTGTTACATTTTTTGTGATGGTATAAAATGGTCAAACTTTTTTTACAGACTACCACAATTATACAAAAAAAATGAAGCATGGAATGTAAGAGAAATCATTGAAAATTCTTTTTTCATATCTGTAAAATCGTATCTGCTAAATGCTGAGGATATTAGAGTTTTAAAGTTTATGCTTTTTGAATCTCTAATACTGCAATAATTAATGATTAATTCTAATCCAGGTTTATCTATTCTTTGTGTAATGCCCAGTTGCAACAAATACTTTGTAACATCATGAATCTTTAATTCCTCTATATTATACGTTTTATAGATTTAATTATGTGAAATTAAAATTTATTTACATTATATCTTCCTAAACAGATCTAAATCTGTATTTCTAATGTTCCAAACGATTCAATGATAATTTTACGTGATATTCCGACTTTCAAACTTGAATTATTACCTGTTTATTTGTATAATTATAACTAAACTGCGGAAGTTTACGCAAATTCACAATTTCACATACTAGCATTCACAAATTTAAATGGGATAGAATTTTGAATTTTATACTATAAGCTTTACCACGTTAATGGTAACATATAAAGAGTACTAAACTGTATTAAAATCGTCATTTTATTGTATTTTCCAAGTTAAGGGACGCTAATAAATACACAAACATCCACAATCTAGTTATAACTGCTATAATTGCATTACAAATATTCGTAAAATATTACAATTACTTACAAATATTATAATTATAAGTATTGCATAATAATGTTTCATTACTAATAGTTTATTAATGACTAATAACAGTGTGTATCGGTATTTAAAATTATTTATTAGTATTAAAGAACATTACTACTATTTACTTACAAGCAGAGCTGAGCAAAATTTAATCTAATTACAAAATCTAAATTACAATTACAATGTAATTGCAAGACTATACGATTACAATTACAATGTAATTGTAAAATTACAATCTAGTTGTCAAATAACAATGTATCCGTAAAATTAAAATGTTATTATAGTTGTAATTGTTTTGCAATTACATTGCAATTACGTTGTAATTGTAACTTAGATTATGTAATTAGATTACATTTTGCACAACTCTGCTTACAATTAATATGATCGCAAAAGAGTCCTACATCTTCTCTGCGATGTAATTATAAGTATTGCATAATCACTTACAGGCAATATAATGATAATTATTCTGAAAACTCAAGATTACAATTGGAAAACAGAACTTTCCCCCGATACGTTTCATTTGCTAAATTAAGTACCGTTGCAGGAAGTACATGAAAAAACTTTGTTAAAAGTAAGCATGAATCATTACACGCAAATATGCTACGGTCGTAATTTTTCCTGCAGCCTAAGAGCACGCATAAGAAGGTAGTGCCGCGGACTAAAGTGTACGTTATGTCGTAAAGAATTCTAAATGTGTGAAAGTTCTGTTTTCATTTCGTGCTGAGAACTTTATGGATTCTTTTTATTACCTTCGCCTCCAAGGTCTCCAGTTGCGCCATTCTGGGTTCAAGAAGTTGTTGCTGCGAACCAGCCCCAGTATGTAGAGCAGTCTAAAACAAAAGAAAAATAAAACTTACATAAGTCTGTGTTCTTATCAATTTTATATCTATTACTTCGTATGAATCATCAAGATCGTGTTATTGATTACTAGACTGCGTATTTTTATGCAGCTAAAACTTATCCAAATATGTAACAAATATGCAGGAAATATGTAGAAATTTTTCAGAAAATATGAAGAAAATATGAATAAATATGCAGGAAGTATGCATACCGAATGAGTCAACTCTGATTTTCTATCACCACAGTTAATCTGCTTATTACACGTCTAGCAATTAACAATGTCTCCTTCCATTATAAAATTTGTATCTGCTATTTCACTTATCCATTTGTTAATTATAACTTGTTTGGCACTTCTTGTTTCAGACATTGTACGAAAATGAGTAAATATTTCTAACGATCAGCCCTCCGAAAACAGTGAAATTAAACCAACATCCTGATTCATTTCTGTTGCTCTACTTTATAACGTGCTCAACGTTACTATTTACATGTTTTTGAATATTACTGACTGTATATACACATGCATATTATCTGACCATATTATACTGATCAGGCTTATTATAAACTGATCATACAACAGTTATAATATGGAAGTATTATGAATCGTAATTCATAATTTATAAATTGTTGTAAAGAAAACTGATAACAGAAGAAAGTATGTAAAATATTGTTTTGGCGAGGTGTCCTATAGTACGACATATTTATTTATTTACAATACTAACACAAAACATTATTTATTAACAAAACTTTCTACAACATTAAACGATAACAAATTCAAAACAAGTCCGTTCTACAAGATTTTCTATCTAAGACTCTCTGTCAAGTTGTTTAAAACAAACTCCTCTTAGCAACCCTTTCGATTCAATCATCTTCAAATGAATGGATTGCAAAGGTCGTTTAACAAAAATGCAGGGCGACTTTCCATGGCGTCGCAACAATATGTAGAAAATATGTAACATATTCAGTCATCTGTCTTTTATATAAGATATGCAAAACATATGTAATATGAAAAATATAAATTTGCATAAAAATCCGCAGTCTATTGATTACTTCATTAACCTTTCAGAATAAGCTTCGATGTAATATACAGTGACTCACAGGAGTATTCGTACCCTCGCAATTCTTCAATTCGAATGATATTCTTTAACTTATAAATATTCTTTAACAATATACATTCTGAAACGTTTGTTACTAAGGATATATTGTGCAATAACTAAGCTTTCGAATCATATATCATTAATTAAAAATAGTAATGCATGTAAATGGAAACTTAAGGAAATTATCGAAAATTTAGTCTCATCAAAATATTCTTATTTGTTATATTTAAGGGGCCACAGGAAATTTACACATATTTACAAGTATTTTCATTCCACAAGGATACAACTGCTATGAGTACGAATACTTTTGTGAGCTTCATTTATATTGTTATGAATTTATATAATATATTACTATATTACTATGAAGTATCATTTACATTACTATGAATTAATATTCAATAAACAACGCATTATTCGAAAGCTTAATTATCGCTCTGCATATCCCTATTGATAAACATTTCAAGTCGACAATATTACGTGGACCCAACCAGAAAAAGCAAGTTGCTGTGAAGATTTTTTAAAATAAAATCTTTTTGTTGCATATTATTTTTAGCATTATCTCCAAAATAACAGAGTAATTTGTTCTTTGAAATTGCTATTATTTCAAATGAATCGATTATATTATTTTTATTTTCCAATAACAGCATTGAAAATAAACTTCCGAAATAAGTTACTTCGAATAGTTATTTCTTATTTTAATATCGAACAAAATTTGCTCAGGTCTGGTGTATGATATCTAAGAAACGCCTTATGCATCAGGGCGTTCTGTTAGGTACACTGACGAGCAAACTCGGTTTCGCTAGGGGCAAATGTATGGTAGGCGAAGGGCTTCCTACCATTTAGTTTTGGGAGTTACTGAAATTTATGCCAAATTAATATTCGGTTTAACACTTATTTTTGTACTTGAAATAAATTTAGTAAATAATAGGAGGCTTTTCTTCCGCTAGGGGAAAAAGTGGCGTAGGAGAAAAGTTTTCTACCACTTGGTAAATTTATTCCAGGTAGTGAAATAAATGTTAACTCAAATATTAATTTAGCATATATTTCAGTAATTCCAAATACCATGTGGTAGGAGGCCCTTTCCCTACGTTACTTTTTCCCCTAGTGGAAGCCGAGTACAAGTGCTGAAATAAATGTTAAATCGAATGTTAATTTGCTACAAAATTTCAATTATTTTCGATACCAAATTTTAGGAAGCCCTTCTCCAACGCCACTTTTTCCCCTAGCGGAAGCCTAATTTGCTCGTCGGTGTACATAGTGCGAGGTCAGACAAAAGTGGTGAGGACGCGTCTCAAGGCTCTTCGAACATTCTCAAACAGTTATGTTCACTCCATTGTATTCTTATAGTAATTACAGTAATCCCACGTTACGCGAATTCAAATTTGTCTCGTTACAAGCACCTGACGCACTTATTCCAGTCTTTTGAAGCGAGCCGAATTGAAGACGACACGCAGCCCATTTGTCATATCCGGATCAGCAACCGTAACGGAAGTATTTGATAAGATACTTGTAAAGTATACTTGACAATAGAACTACCAGAATAGAATGTATGTAAAGTTAAATTGTGTAATATACAGGGTGAGTCACCTAATGTTTGCACCTCCAAATATCTTTGTTGTTGTTAAAGATACGTCAAATATCTTAAGGACAAAGAGATATCAAGGTCACCTTCATTTTTTAAAACGGAATCGCCCTTTTTTAAACACAATGAAAATACGCCCTTTCAGTATGAATTTAGTGACTATAATTATTCGAGGTCATTCAAGGTCACGGATAGAGAAAACTCATGCCTGCTTTTCGGACAATTTTTCTCGTACTCACACATGAATTGATAGTTATAGCTGCTAAAATATGTGTACTAATTGCGAATGTATAATTAACAATTAGCTTTCTGAGCTTTGACTATTATTTTTTTACTACCAAACAGAAAATGATCCGATTCGCCTACTATAGTAGTAAGCCTACTATAATAGGAAGTTTTGTCCGTTTCTGAGTTAAAAGAAAATAATAGATTTTCAATATATTTATTAATATTTACTGAGCAATATAATATCTATCGTTACTAATGACCTCCCCAGCGTGATGGTAATTGGTGGATTCCATAATAAATGTATTGAAAATGTATTATGTTCTTTTTATTCAAAAACGAACAGAACTGTCCGGTAGACCTAATACAAGGTGTGTAAAAAATTAAAAAAAAAAAAAAAAAAAAATCTATTCTAAAATCTAAAATCCGTCTTTCTGACGGGTTCGGTAAATCCTAGCCGCCCAGATCATGCGACCTGACATCATTGGCCTTTTTTCTTCGGGGTTACGTCAAAGTTAAGGTCTACTCCAAAGCTCCAGCAACGATTCAAACACTCAGAGGCAATATCAGAGCTCTAATTCGCGAAATCAAGCCGGATTTGTCCGACAACGTTATGAAAAATTTCCTTAAACGAATGGCTGACTTTTTGCTTCACCTTTAAATAAAAATATTTTAATAATTCTAAAAAAAAAACGTTTTTTTTTATAATTTAAAATAACATCTCTCAATGGAAGACCCTATGTAATATTAGCACAAATGGTTATGAAAAATGTTGAACCAAATATTGGGATCAGAATATTTCCGGTTTTCTTCTTTTTAGAATACGAAACCGCAGTTTCTGTATCATACATGTGGAAGTGGTGAACCGAAAACTGTCAGGTTCGAGGGATCATCCTTTCAATCGGACGCTTCCTGTCACGCGGTTTATCGCGGATTTCCTGTTGGGACGAAGCATAACTTTCTTTTTAAGTCCTTCGCGGTTACACAAAATACATTATTCGTGTTGCTGACAGAATTTTCTACAGGTGACAGGATTTCAGCGGTAGGATGTCGTGGCATTTGTGTGTATATGTAACAATGATTATAATTATATGAATCCTCCGCTATGGTGCAGGACAATGGTCTTTGTTCTACTTTCCCTACTTTCCTTTTATAAGACTAATCTTTGTATTAAAGTCTTTAATTATGTAACAGTTTATTTATATTTTAAAATCAGGTTTGTTTTCTAAATTTTCAGAATGAATAAATGGAGCCTTATTTTGAATATTTAAACAAATACGAATGACATTAGGCATTTCTTTCAGTTAGTTTACATTATTGTAGTCTGGTTTTTTTTTAATATTATTGTTATGAAAGGGAGTTTCAGAGATTTGGTTAATAATTTTTTCCACAAAATTTATATTTTAAATTTATTTCAAATGTGAATAATTAAACTCTGATTGGGTGGTTTGGCATGGAAATTTGAAAAAATTCAACATATGGAGCCAGTCAATTTGTTCTTTGAACGGCTCAAATAAAAGTACAGGGTAAATTTTGAAGAGATGCCACCCTTTTTGGTTGAGATCCAATAATTTTTTTACATCCATCCCTCTGAGATCCAATAGTGTTTTTGCATACAATTTCCAAAATATGGCCTACGACGAACAAGTTATGATAATTTGCCAACCAATATCCAATGTTGGGCCTACAATTATTATAGTTGGTTAATTAACAAGAAATTTACAACGATAATACAACATTGGACCACCCAAAGTTTGCCAACATTTTAATATCGCCTTAAAGACGTCAGAAACGTTTGCTATAACCAAAAACTTGTTCTTATATTTCAAATTGATTTTTTGGTTTTCTTATTTATAAATATACTCACAATTTGTTATTGTCGCGCAATACGTTTGACATTTGACATTTTGTGAAAATAGAATCAAGGGACAGGAGATTGTAAATAACTTATAATAATTATTTGTAATAATTAGCTACATGTATAAACTGTACATAATAAATTGTAAAGATAATTTTGCTGGTAAAACTTGTTTACCTGTTTAATATACATATACAATTTATACATGTATATAATTATTATAAATACTAT